TATGATGTTCCATTGGCCTATTCTTCTACCCTATGCCAGTAACACACAGTCTCCCTTTCTAGAGCCTTCAATGGGTCTTATCAAATGCCAGTGAGACTTCTAGCTAGTTCATCACTGGCCTGGATGTGCCAACTCCGTGATACCCCCTGAGAGGAAAACCCAGAGCTCCTAGAGGTGAGGTGACCTGACCTTTGCCATCCAGCTCTACACCACTGTCCCCAATCCTTCCTGGGCAGTGCCCTGTCTTCCCTGCTTACTGTATCGCTGAGACCTCCACCTTCACCCATACTACTGGGATTTAATCTTTTTCTTTAAATCGATTTCCCTTTTCCTTAACATTTCTTAAGGGAAACTGCAGCTACAGTAAATGAGAAGTCAGCGTTATTTTCCATAAATGCAAGGAAACTGGAAAAAAATCTTAAAGGAAAAACAACAGAAATTTCATTCAGTTCCAGCCAGATGCTGTTGCTCTGGGTCTTTTTAACTAAGTAGGAGATTGGCAGGGGAGGGGCATTGCGGGGTCATGAGGACCCGAGATGATGTGTCCAGGGTCACGCAGCTTAGGCTGCTACTGGACGATGAATGTCAAGTCTCGCCGGGAGCTGGAGGACTGGGCTGCAGAAGGGCCTAACCCTGGCGATGGGGAGTGAGCTCAGGTTCTGACTTCTCCTGAGAAGGGGAGAAAGAAAGGAAGAAGGGACAGCAGAAGACAGAGAGGCGGAGCCCACCTGGACTTCGAGCGAGGTAGCTCCTAGGCTCTGACATACACACACAGCCCATCCCCTGGAGTCCCTGCTGTCCTCACCTGCCGAGCCAGCAGATTACTAAATCCACCTCTGTATCTTGGGGACAGGAGTCCTGCCCTGGGGGCTTAGGCTGGGCTGGAGATGGAGTCATGTGCACATGAGGATTACACTGTGGCAGTGCCATTCATTGTTACAGGGCAGGGAGAGGGGCACCCCTGAACCCCCAAACCTGCCTGCTCTAAATGGGTTCTGCCATCCGCCACATCAAGAGAAAACATGTCAGACTTTAATGAAAAGGAACTTTAATACAGTGAGTATACCATACAGAAGGCAAAGGATATAATGTCTAAGTCAAACACCTGAAGTTACCCATCCCCTCGTGGGCAAAAGTCCACCCAAAAGGGATTGGCCCAAAGCAAGGCCTGAAAGCTGCCACAAGACTAAAGCACCTTCTGGCCGGGACCCATGGAAAAGGGTCAGAACTGGCCAGACAAATCTAGGAGGAAAAGAGCAAAATCAAAATCAATATAAACACTGCCATAGTCACCTCCCTACAGGTATCTCACCCACATCTGCCTTAACCAGTCCAGGGTCAGGAAACAAGCCTGGTTTCTTCATCACATGCTTGCTGCTCCATGTTGCTTCCTCAGGGCTCCTTCTGGCTCTCCATCCTGCCTCCTTCTTCAGATTCCTTCTCTTCTCTTCTTTCTTTACTCAGCTCCACCCTCCTTCTGGGTGGGGCAGGGAATCTGTGACTATCCCTTTCCCTAAGGACCACCCTGTTACACCATCACCAGGAGGCAGGATACTGGAGGTGACAGGATGAGGAATATCAGGGGCGGTAGGAGCTGCTTGGGCTGTCTTGAAAGGTGACTGGGAGGGAGTTCCCCCAAGGACCCACGTGTAGCCAGAACTGCACATGCAAATACCCTGAAGCCCAGAGATTTAGAGAGGTATCAGGAGCTCCTAGGCTGGAATCTGGGCCTGGGGTGAAGATGGCAGGTGCGTGGCGAGATTAGCAGGGGCAAGTGGAGGCTGGAAACGCGGCTGAGAAGCCCTTACTCAGACCTAGACACAAGGCCTGGGCTTGGAAAGTCACTCACCTGTCTTATCAGTGGCCTTCTGTGGTTACACCTGGAACTATAGGGAGAGAGAAGAGCACAGAAGCTCTGTGCCCATAGGTGTACTGACCCCCATGGAGTGGGAGGTGACCTTGGGGCAGTGGAGGGTGCGGGAGAGCAGTCTGAGCATAAAGTACAACCTGTGCAAAGGCCAAGGCCACAAGAGCCTGCCATAAGTAGGCCAGGGTCAGCCTGGCCAGCAGGGGCCAGAAAAGTGGCTGCACTGGCTCAGATCCTTGCCAGCCAGGCCTGGTCCTTTTGCTCTGGCCCCTGGCCCAGTGGAGATTTCCCTCTGAAGGCCACCTCCCTCAGTCACCTCCCTGGAGCAAACCTTCCCAGCAGCCTGGCGGCTGCTTGGCCTGGAAGGCAGCCAGAAGCCTCATTCTTTACCAGCATTGGCTGTGTGACCTCGGCCAGCTCCCTCCCCGCCCTGGGCCCTCGGTCTCTCAACACTGAAGCACTGGAGTTGATTTCTGGGCTCCTGCTTCCAACTTCTTTGATCTAATTCCTGCAGCTTAAATTGCTTCCTGAGCTGGTCCTGCTGGGATACTAATGACTCTCCTTGGTGGCTGTGTGCTGGTGCCTGGGGCCTCTCTCACCAGGCTCCCACCTTCCAGCTTCCAGGGCTGGGGGCGGTGCGGTGGGTGGCAGGGACTGGGGAAGGTTACTGGCCTCTGGAGACAGGGATGGTCTGAGAGCTAAAGTGACTGGCCCGAGGTCACCCAGCAGAGGAGCCAGCCCTACATGGGTGCAGAGGCGAGGATGAGGTGGCTGTGGATTTGGGGCAGAGGACAAAGCAGCTCCCAGCGACTTGGCGGCAGGGCCCTCGGCCCTCCCCACTCTTCCATGTTCTGCCCCTCCCACCCCCCATCTTCATCCGTGACTCTCCTGCCTTGTGAAATCCTCTTATCTTTCCCTTCTGGCCAGTCTGTCACTGGGGTTAGGGGAGGGGGGCCAGGAGGACCTCCCCCTGCCTCCACCCTCAGCCCTTTCCCTGTGCTGTCTCAAGACCAAGGTGGACGCCCCAAGGTGGGTTCAAGTCTAGACTCCACCATGGAGTCACCATTCTCACTGAGCTTCAGTTTTCTGAGAAATCACAACAGCCTATTTGCATTGTTTGCCAATACTGTGACAAACCTCTCATGAGGTGGCTGGCACCTGGTAGGTGGGGAGGAATGAGGTCCTCTGGGACTGAGAAGGGGCTCATCGCTGGTGGCTCTTCCTCAGGCCCCCAAGCAGTCTCCCGGGCATCCTCCAGCTACTGAAGCAGCCTTGTTCACATGGTAGAAATGAGATGGCAAGTCTGAGGTCGAGTGTCTTGTTCACGTGGTAGGTGGCGCAGCTGGGCCTGGGTCCACGTCAGTCTTGCTCCCAACCTTTGTTCACCCCACTTGCCAGTTTCCCTCAGCTGGGCCGAGCAGCGGCCTGTGTTGGAGGTGCAGTGGTGCCGTGGGCGGGGCCCCGGCTGCGTAGGCCCAGGGGTGTGGGCCTGTGTCAGGGTCTCCAGGATGCAGGTGGGCTGATGTTCAGGGACTTCACCTCGCAGGAGCCTGTCAGGCCCGCCCGCTGTTGCTCCCACCCCGCCCTGCCCCCTCCTGGATGCCATCTCTGCCCGTCCAATCTAGTCCATGGCCTTTGCATTTGGTCCATGCCTGGCCACGAGGCTCAGGGCTGTGGCTGGGTTCTCCGGGGCGGGAGGGAGGATGCTGTGGTGTAGCCGCCCTCTGTGCAGCCTCTGTGCTTGTGTGCAGGAGGAACAACTGAGCAGAGCAGGCCCTGCTTCCAGGGCGTGTGTTCTAAGTGGGTGCCAGTTGCCCCATCCCCTGGAATAGGGACTCCAGGCATGTGTGGGATGATAAGTTCAGTGTTAGATTGGTACCTGTGAGGGCCCAGAAGAGGGTCCCCACTGTACACAGGGGTACAGGAGGGACGTGAGCAGACCATGATGCAACCCCCAGGGAACCCCAGAGGGGCAGGTGAGGTGGGGGTGGGAGAGGGGTCAGCCAGAGGCCCCTGAAGCCCTGGGACAGGAGACATTCAGGCACATGAGAGGCTGGAGGTCTGGGAGTTGGGAAAATCTGACGTTGAGATTGAGGGTGATGGGTGTTGGTGGGAGGTAGGTCACTGGCAGTAAGGAGTGATGAGGTGCTTCCTGCAGAAATGGAGACACTTGTACCAAAAGTGCTGGAGGTGTTACAGGGCAGGGAGAGAGGGGCACTCCTGAACCCCCAAACCTGCCACATCAAGACAAAACATACAAGAGCTGTAATGGAAAGGAACATTAATACAATTCGTGTACAGCACAGCAAAGACAAAGAATATAGTTTCTAAATCAGATACCCAAAGTTACCCGCCCCCTCGTGGGTAAAAGTCCCCCCAAAAGGGATTGGCCCAAAGCAAGGCCAAAAGCCAGTCACAAGTCTAAAGCTCCTTCTGGCTGGGACCTACAGAAGGGTCAGAGATAACCAGACAAATCTGGGAGGAAAAGAGCAAAATCAAAATCAAGATAAACACTGCCATAGTCAACCTCCGCATGGGTCTCTCATCTGTTTCAACCAGTCCAGGGCCAAGAAACCAGAGCCACTTCTTCTCATGTCTCTGCTCCATGTGGCTCCCTCAGGTCACCTTCTGGCTCTCCATCCTGCTTCCTTCCTCCTCAGTTTCCTCTCCAGATTCTTCTCCTCCCCACTCAGCTCCACCCTCCTTTGGGTGGGGCAGGGAACCAGAACCCTCCCCTTTTCCTGGGGACAACCCTGTTACTGCCCCACCTCTCTGCAGGGAATGAGAGGATTCTGGCTGTGGAGTGAGGTGGGCTGGTTTCCATCCCTGCTCTGCAAGAGCCAGCTGTGTGACCTTGGGCAGGTCTCTCCCACTCTCTGGGCCTCAGTTCCTGTGTGTGGAGGTGAGGATGCTTGCTTCACAGGGGTTCACCTGACTCGCCATGCCTTGGACACCCCCCCACCCCTCCCCCCGTCTTCGGTGAGTGATGATGTCCTGCCTTCCTGTCCTCCCAGGTACCCTGGAGCTGCCCACACTCCCCCCTCGGTCTTCCACTGCCTGTCTCAGCCTCCCCTCCCGGGGTCAGCGGCCATCATGTTCTCCTGCGTGAAGCCCTATGAGGACCAGAACTACTCAGCCCTGAAGCGGGCCTGCCTGCGCAAGAAGGTGCTCTTCGAGGACCCTAATTTCCCAGCCACTGATGACTCGCTGTACTATAAGGGCACCCCAGGGCCCACGGTCAGGTGGAAGCGGCCCAAGGTCAGTGTCTGGTGTGGCCCAGACCCACCCATGGGGCTCAGTTCACAGGGGACAGTGGTTGGTGGCAGGGAGGAGACCTCTCAGGCCCCAGGCTGCCGAGGAAATAGTGGGGCAGGGCCCTCTTGCTGGCCTAGAGTTGGGGCCTCGGGCCCAACCCCGTGACCACTGCTGCCTGGTGACCCCACCCCTTGGCTAGGAAGCAGGGCCCTCTCCTCCTGTAAAGGGAGTAAAAATGTGGTGATGTGGATGTGACCTTTTTTTAAGAGCTGACCTTCAAGTAAAATGAATTTAATTTGCTGTTAATCATCGTGAAGATTTTGAAACAGTCATTTGCTGTACATGGAAAGTATTTGTTATGATTAATCAATAGCAATAGAAGTAAAAACTAACGGCACCTCAGGGCGGCTGTGAGTCCTGCGGGAGCCCGGTCGGCAGCCATCACTGTCGGGGTGGGTGGCTGCCCAGCCCGCCTGGGGTGGGACCTAGAGTGTATTTAGCAGCCGTGTTGGACCTGGGAACATGATTCAGCCTCTTTCACCCTGTTCCTGGGTGAGAATGAGTGCCAGGGTGGGGTGGGTTTGCTGGGTGACCGGGAGGCCACTGGAGGGCCCGGCCCAGCTCCTCCTGTCTCCAAGGCTGTGCTGGTGACACTGAGGGTTGGTCGCAGGAGGGACTGAATGCTGCTGCATGCAGAGGAGACGCCCCAGCTCCACAATCAGGGAAGGCATTTGCCAGGAAGGCCGTGCAGGCAGAAAGCACGGTGTGAAAAGCACAGGGAGGCCTGTGCCTTCAGCTTGTTTACCAGGAGGCTATGGTACCACAGCACAAGGGGAGAGCTTGTGAAGGAGCATGAGAGGAAGGGGCGTTTGGGGTCCCACCAGGACTGGGAGCCAGCTGCTGTGCTCTGGGCTTTTATCCAGGTGCCAGGGCCAGATTTGCATTTTATGGAGCTCCTGTGAGTCCCACGGTCCCTTGGGAAAATGAAACTGAATTTCACATTCCTTGCTTATAATATGATCCCTTCCATTTCAAACAATTCCTGTTCTGTCTTGAACTGGGTTGCTGGGGTAGTAGAGAAACTGAGGCAGAGCATAACAGCGTGCTCTGATTGCCCAGCCAGCTGGTAGCAAAGCCGGGCTGGGACCCAGCAGCCTGGCTCCCAGCCCACACCCCACCCCCAACTTGCCTCCCCAACCTCAGATAACAGGGCGTGGCCCTTTGCCCTCAGCCTCATGAGCTGTGCTGGCTTCTACCGCCTGCCTTGGTTCTCCTGGACTCCCCAGAAGCCCCTTGGCCTGGTCACAAGATTCCTGCGTCGAAGGCTTCCCCTCTGCCTGGCCTTCCTTATTCTCCTTTGTCTGATGGGTGGGGAAGGAGCCTCACTCAAAGGGTCTTTGTGAGGCTTTGCGCCCTGGGAAGGGGGGCTGGGGGTTCTCTGAAGCATTCTGCCCTCCCGGCTCCTCCCCTGCCTTCTGGCCAGTACCCAGATATCTGAGGTCCATGGCTCTGAGGGAGGCTGAAGTGGGTTGGCCGGGATGGTGAGAGGGGAAATGCTGGGCAGGCCAGCCCAGCCTCAGCTGCTCCTGCCCTGCGACCCGGGCACAGTCACCTGCCCACTCTGGGCCTCTTGCCTGGCTGGCTGTCCTGTCCTGCACTGCCTTCTGGACTCTGCTTGGCCCTTCCTAGACTCCAGAAGAGAAGCAGAGCTCCCTCTGCCCTGGACACAGAGGCCGGTGACAGACTATGTGTGGTGGTTGGTGTTGAGAGAAGGGGATTCGAGGAGGGGCCACGGGGGGGTCATTTGGGGCTGGGAGGCAGTGCAGGGCCAGACCCCGGCTAGGGGGTGGTGGGTGTGGAAGTGAGACGGTGCCCCGGGGTCTGGCGGATGGTCCCTGCATGACAGCTGCTGTATGGTGGCAAGCCCAGTTTCACTGCAGGCTGCACTCTGACAGGACAGAGGCTTGGGCAGGAGTCGGCCTGGTGCTTCAGATGGGTCGGGCGAAGCCAGCTAGCGGGGGACTGTTTACTCACGGTGGCTGGGTTGTTTGATCAGTGAGAGGGAACTTCGGCTGAGAAGCCCACTTCCTCATCCAGTGTGACTCATTTTTTTTTTTAAGATTAGTTTGTTTTTTTTTTTGCGTAGAAGAACTGGGACATAGGCCAGAGGTGTGGGGGTGAGAGGATTCACCAGAGACAGTGGGGAGCAGAACAGGCGAATCTTCTGAAATACACTGCTGAGGGGAGCGGGATGGGCGAGGCAGGAGAGGTCTGCTGCGCCATGTGGGTCAGCAACCTGGACTCTTAGGAAGTGGCTGGTGATATTGAATTGATAATGCTGAGACTTAACCCCACCACCACCAGGGCAGCCCCAATTTGACTCTTTAAAGAGGAAAAGCCAACTTCTCCCTACCCCAGGGGAAGTCCTCTCCATTCCGCTCCCTCCTCCTGCTCCTTCTCTTTAAGTGGGTTGGTATGGCGACCTTGCTGGTTTCCAGGGATCTCCTCAGCCAGCTCTCTGCTCCAGCTTCCCTCCCCTTCTCCCCACAAAGGGAGTGAGGAGGATGTTTTTTGAACCAGATGGACTTGACTGTATTGTATGGGGGGTTTGACTGAACAAGTCACTTCCCCGGTCTCCAGTTGCTTGTCAGTAGATGGGAAAAAGAATTCTTGTTGCTCATGGTCTCTGGAGGTTGAAATGACTTGAGGCACCTCTGCAGTAAGACGGACCACAGATGTTGGGGGCAGATGGCAGGCTGGTTTCCCCTCCCACCATCTGCTCCTGGCCAGCACTGGGTTGGGGACCCAGGAGTGAAAGTTCTACCTTTTATAGACTCTGCAGCTGGGGCCTGACTTTTCCACTTCAGCCCCCACCCAGCACCTGTCTGGGGCACACACCTCCTCCTCCCCTCTCTTTGTTTTTTGTTCTCTCCAGCTCTGTAAACATGGCTAGCCTCCCCCAGGTGGGCCTGGTGAGATAAGCAGACTGTCACAAGTCTGCTGCTCAGGGAATCCTGAGTATGGGTGGGCGAGGGCAAGTCTCCTTGCTCAGACCCCAGACCTTACACGGGTCTCCTTCCATCCCTGTGGGGAGAGAGTGGGCCCTCATTCCCCTTTAAACACTCTGCTTCTCCCTGCCTCTGGACATATGCCTGTAGGACATTTGGTAGAAGCTAGAAAAGCAGATATCAAGTTTTGGAACTTCTCAGGGTGGCCTGATAGTCCTCAAACCCATCCCTGGGCTCATGTGCCCCAAATCAGCACTTGGAGAAGGTCCCACTCTTTGACCCTCCTGAACATTGGGCCCCTTTATGCTACAGACAGGCAGTTTGCATGGTCTACCCAGGAATGATCCCTTCTGAAGGATGGGTTCCTGAGAGAGATGGGGTGCATGGAGTGGGGAGCAGGCCTGTTGCATAGGGGTGGGGCACTGATTGTAACTCCTGAAACACTATTCCTGTTCCCTGTCCCAGGCGAGGCCCTGCCTCCTCCTGCACCTCAGTTTCCCCAATCATCTGGCTGATCCCTGCTGTGATCTTAGGTTCGAGGAGGAGGTGACTGCAGTGAAGGTGGATGGATGAGGAAGGTGGGGAGCCCTGGATCCACTGTCTTGCCACATTCTTCTTTGTACACCGGGCCTGGAGGCCCGGAGACCTGACATTCCTGTGCTGTGGAAGGAGGTGGTTGTGGGCTGTGGCCTGTGTCCAGAGAGCAAGTCTGACGAGCTGGGAGGGGCTGAGAGGTGAGAGGTGACCGCAGGTCAGGAGGCCATGGCCAGAGCGGTATGTTGACGCAAGCAGTTACCTCCCAGCCCTGGGGGGTGACTTGAATCAGGACTCCGCTGCCAGTCCTGTTCCCAGGGAGCCTGCCGGTAGCCCAGCAGAAGCTGCCAAATCCTGCTCCTCACACTGGAGGCTACAGTCAGGCTCAGGTCATTGTCTGGCGCCTCCAGGTGGTAGCAGAGACCCAAAGGCAAACCTCAGTGTGGATGGTGATGGGAGGGCACAGATGGCTAGGGGCCTGGGGGACAATGGGGTTATCTTGAGGGGCAGTTTGCACAAGTGGGTGCCTAGTCACTGGGAACTAACCTGTGACTGTTTCATTCAGGGTGCCCCAAGGGGGCTGCAGGACCCCAGGGGCCACCAACCTCAGGCAGTGCCTCTGGACAGAGCTGGCCAGCTACTCTCCTGGCTGTGGGATGATTAGGGGGTGCGGGGCTCCAGGCCCAGTTCCCAACTCCCGAGTATTCCGGGGCTGCGAAGCTTCCAGGGCTATCTTGTTCTACATCAGGCTGACAGCTTTCCCCTGGCAGGGCTGCTCACTGGGGATGGGGTCCTGTTGGAGAGTCCAACCAGCCAGGATTCATCCCATCCATCCACCGGCCTCTTAACCCTGGGCCTCACTGCCCCCGCCTGGGCCTCAACATCTTCTCTGTGGAATGGGCCAAGTGTCTCTGTTGCTGGGCCCTGGCTGGGGAGATCTGAAAGGTAGAGGTGTAAGGAGTCGCCTCTGAAGACGCCAGTGATGCCAGATCTGGCTATCCCTCTCCCCATGGGGGATGGCAGCTGTGGTCCTCCAGATAGGAAGCTCCTCCCACCCCCCATCTCTGTCCTCCAGGGCCCAGGGAGACAAATGCTAAGTCATGACTTCCCTGGCTTACAGTGCTGGGTGTGAGCCTGGGCCCAGGAGATAAGAGAGCAGAGAGCTGTGGGGAGGGGAGGCCCAGCTTCCTGACTGCCACTTCCCTGGGGCGGTGTTACTCAGACCAGTGGCGGCAGACAGTCTGCTTTTGGGAAACCTTGCAGCTTGGTCCCTGGTCACCCTAAAGTCCCATTTGGAGTCGTTCATGGCTCAGGGGAGTTGTGACCCTCAAATCAGCTGCTAAAGCATTCCCACTTGAAGGTGGCTGCAGGGACCCCACAGACCTCAGCTCCATTTCCACCTGCCACGTGCTCTTCTCCCTGATCTGTGGAGTGCTCGCACAGCCCTGCAGGGGTAGGGGTAGCAACCTGTCTCCTTTGCGTGGTTGAGAAAGTGGAGGCTCAGAGAGGTTAAGACACTGGCATAGAATTGCACAGCCTGGAATTGGGAGTTTCACCTTCCTCACTCTGCTGCCCCCTGCTGGGCTGCTGCAGTAGGATCTCAATAGCTTTGTTGCTGTGAGCTATTCAACAGTGGGAGCACCTGCTGTAGTGGAGGCAGGCCTGTGCTGGGTTTGGGGGACAGCACGTTATTCCACCTCTCTGGGTCTCAGTTTCCTCACCTGTGACATGGCCACAGTGCCACCTCTCAGGACCACAGTGATCTGATCATGGTGGTTGCTTGGCTCTTAAAGGCGCCCGCGGTACTTGCCAGCCCCTTCCCTGTCTGCCTCTCTCAGCGAGCAGCCTCTCCCTTTCAGCTCTGTCCAGTGAAGATGCCGATGGGAGAGGTAGGGGGTCGTGCAGCGACCTGGACTGGGAAGCGGGGAGCAACCACCTGCGCCTCGCCCTGCCCCCGCCTGGCCCACAGGTCATTCCAAGAGCAGCGCGTAGGTGGCTCCTGAGCTGTGCTTGGCGTTGGCTTGCTCTGTCCTTGCAAGTCACTGCCCCCTCTGAATCTTCCATCAAACGGAACGACAACCCCGTGCTCCTCAGGCAGGCTGAGGGTAGAGGAGACAGCAGGAAGATGTGCCCAGAAGGTGAGGCAAGAGGGGAGGCCTGAGGCCGGGCGGGGTTGCTGGGAGTGTGAGCTCCTCTGGGCACTGCAGCTCCCTGCCTCTCCTGGCTCTCGGGGATCTCTACCCACATCCTGACTGTGGTCCCAGCTGGCCAGCTAGGTGGCCCTGCCAGGCTGCTGGAGCTGGAGCTGCTGGCCACTGACCCCTGCTGGCCAGAGAGGAGTCGGTTTGGTGGTGCAGCCCCAGGTCCCTCCCAGTGTTCATTCATTGCCAAGCCTTTACCAAAGAGCAGTTTTCGGGGCCCTCCCTCATGGCACAGCGGGTTAAAGCACAGCGCCAAGAAGCCAAAGCCACTTCTACATGAGTTCGATCCCCGCCCCAGAGGCAGCCACATGGCTCGCAGACCTCTCCTGACCCGCCCGCTGCTCCCCTCAGCAGTGTGCTTCCTCAATCTGCCTGTTCTGCTCCCAGCTCTGTCTCTGGTGAAGCCTCTCACCCTTCGCATCTCTGGCCTGTACCCCAGTTCTGTGTGCATAAATAAATAAATCTTAAAAAAAAAAAGAGCCGTTTCCTGGGCAGGGGAGAGAAGGGTGAAGGGCATTTTAGGCAACACCTGAGGAAGTTGGCCAGGTGCCCCCCAGCCCCCAGCGAGTAGCAGAGGCGGTGACTCTGTGCTTCTCCACAGGACATTTGTGAGGACCCCCGCCTCTTCGTGGACGGCATCAGCTCCCATGACCTGCACCAGGGCCAGGTGGGCAACTGCTGGTTTGTGGCGGCCTGCTCGTCGCTTGCCTCCCGGGAGACGCTGTGGCAAAAGGTGAGGCTTGGGGTGGGGGCGCTGGGGGGTCCTGGGGTGTCCACTCAGCCTGCGCCCTTGCTGCCAGCATACAGCTGGGGCTCGATGGAAAAGCCTGTGCTGCAAGGCTGGTGCGAGGTGACACTGGGGCTCCCTAGCACTGACTGAGCATAGAGCTGCCTTTCCCTCACCTGCTGGCTCACACTACCGGGAACAGGTGCTGGGAGCCTCCATAGCTCCCCAGGTGATGCTACTGTGTCCCTCTCTGACCTTCGGGAGCCCGCAGTGTCCCTGGGGCCACCAGGCAGAATCTGTACCTGCCTGGGTCTGGTACTGGGGCTCAGGAGACCCCTGCCAGTAGTGTCCTTCCCTGGGCTTCGCTGTGCTCTCTGGGTCAGCGGGAGTGACCCGTCCTGGACCCCGACTGCACCCTGGTTCTCCTCCTGCTGTGCCAAGTCATCCCCACCCCCACTCTCATTCCTGCCCTTTCTGTCTTACACGGGACTGGCAACGGGGCTGGAGAGCTCCTGGTTTGCCGGCTCACGAGGGGCTCCGGCTTGAACCTCCGCCTCACCGTCTGGTAGTTTCATAATCACCCTCAGCTCGCTCATCTGAAAGCCCAGGGTGCCAGGTAGCTTCCTCTTGGGGAGTTGTGAGAGTGAAACACACACTTCACTTCGAGTGCCTGGTGCCGCGCGGGTTTGGTGACCGGCCAGAGCGCGCCAGGGTCTGCGCACCCGTGTTCCGGTGCAGCCTCCGCCGGCAGCCGCCAGAGGGAGCTGTGCCCTCGCCCGAGGCCGGGGCTGTGGCTGGGCCGGTGTTTCCCGGTAATGCTCTCACGTCTTCCAGACTGGGGTCTGACTTCTCAAAGTCCCCCGCCCCCACCCGCGGGCATCCCCGGGCATGGCCCCCGACAGCCCCGGGGAATAGGGATAGCTGTGTGCTGTCATGAGGTGCCTGGGAGGGCCTCAGAGAGCCACGCATGGGCTTACTTAACTGACGAGCCTCCTTGCCTGGGAAGATGATCAGGGCATAGGCTGGTCCTCACACTCCTGGCTCCAGGCCCCAGCCAAGGCACTCCTGCTCTGTGCTCCACCCAGCAGATCTGGAACAGAGGTGGTGTGCAGGAATCCCGGGGGGGGCTGGCTCCCCCCCTTGCCTATAATTGCCTGTTTGTCTGTGGTCTCCCCTCTTGAGGTGAGCTCCCCGTGGAGTGAGTCCAACCTATATCTTTCCACTGAGTCCTATTGGGTGGCTCAAGAAAGTCGGGCCCCTTACCAAATGTCAGGGCCAGTTAGTAAGCAGCAGCCCTGCATCCAGGCTGGCTGCTCCAGGCCTCTGGGGCCCAAATCATTGGGCCCTCTCCTAGGGAAGGGGCTGCCTGTTCATTTGCAAGGAGGAGCCAGGCTCTCAGTGTACCCCACCCTGGGCCTCATCCCAGGCCACCCCCTCTGGTCAGTGGATGACGGGGCCCAGGACCTGCAGGCAGAGGCCTGCCCTTGATGTCGGTGGCCACGGGCAGGCCCTGCGTCTGTGCATTGATGATTCCTCTGGTGGGGTTCACAACCTGGCTGGGCAGGAGGCCTGTCTCTAGTAGCTCAGGTCCCCGGGAGGCGGGGCAGGGGGTGCTTGGGGCTAATTGCAGTCTGCCTCCGGGTGCTGTGGTGATAGCCCCTGGGTCCTGGAAGGAGGCCCGAGGCCCCGGGGAGCTCATTACTATGCCTTCCCTCCCTCCTGTCCCTGCTGACTGGGCCCTGTTTGTTGTTACCCCTCATTTTCTGGACCTGTTGCCCGGCAGGGCCTCCCTTGCCCCATACTGTTTTTCTCTATGGAAGAAGGGGTGTTCAGCCCGGAGAGCATCCCTGCTCCCCCCACTGCCTCCCTCTGGGGATGCCGAGCCTCAGATGCAGGCACATCACACCTTCCACTTTTGCCGCCCCCTCCTGGAAGCCGCCCTTTATTTCTAGGCCCTGGCACAGCCGGACACCCACAGGCATGGCCAGACCAGGGTTTGATTCTGACTATGTCCCTTGCTAATCATGTGACCTTGGGCAGAGGCCAGTCCTTCCCCTGGCCTAGGGTAAATCTGACCTTCTAGTCTCCAGGATTGTGGGGAGATGGAAGGGGCCCCTCAAGGGCACAGTTTAACCCCACTAGCTCACCCTCCTCTGTCTTCGTTTCGTCAGACACCTAGTGGCAGCTGGCCTCCCCCACCCATGGTGAGGGTCTCCCCAACTTGACTGTGCATTCCCTGAGAGCAAGACAGTGGACTTAGGGTGACCAGGTTGTATAGACTAGAATGTCAGGATGTGACAGTGGGTTGAGCATTGCACCAGGCCTGGCCTGGCCCCAGACAGACATGAAGTTTCCTGCTAGCTCACCATCCCCAGAGCTGGCCTGCATGGGGGCAGCCCCATCCCTGCTCTGAGCCCCAGGTGTGAGGGTGGGGGTGAGGGGGAAAGGGGAGTTTGGCTCAGGAGGCGTGAGCCAGCTCTGGCTGGAGGGGAGCGGACAGAAGCAGAGTCCCAGTGGGGTGTTTGGATGTCTGAGAGTGAATGTGGGGGTGGGCAGTCTGGGTGGGGCCTCGGAAGCACCTGGAAGGAGGGCCAGGCTATCTTTAATTCCATTTCAGAATGTTCCCATGGCACCCGGCCCTGCTGTGGAAGCAGCTCTAGCCTGTAGCAGTTAGTGGAACGCAGCTGGCCCCTGCAGCTTTCTAGGCACTGGGACAAAAGATTTGACAAAACAGCTCCTTAAGGTTTTCATTCCCCAGAAACAACCAACGCTCAGGGTTTTCTCTCTTCCTTCTAGTCTTTTAACCACTTGAGGTGAATGTGGTATTCATTTAAATGTTTCATAATACACATTTTTGTGATCACTGTGCAAATGTGAGATTTGCATGTTTCCTCTCCACTCATTCCTGGGGCCAGCCTAGGGAGCTGGGGCTGCCCCAGCATCTGGGGGCTCGGCAGAGGTGTGCGGATATCAGGGGCCTCATCCCTCCTGTAGCCTCCTGGCCCTGGCTGACCCTGGCCCCCTGACCCTGCCTGCTGCCCTGTCTGTGCGACCCAGGCTCTGGCAAATTTCCATCTTCAGCTTCTTCCTGCAGACCCGGCCTTCCTAGCTTGCCCCTATCTGTCGGCTGAACTCCCACCAGACCCTGCAGGTCCTGAGAGGGGATGGGCTCTCTCGTCCCTCAGTGCCGACCCCAGGCCACACTTTCCCACCTAAACCCCCACAGGGCCATGCTGTTCTGCTCCCTTGCAGCCCACCTAACCAGCATCCTCAGCCAATCAACTACCCTGGCCGGTGCCTGAGTCCCCAGAGCCTCTGCACCATAATTTCCCAGTCTTTTCTGCTCCAAATATTGTTGTTTTCCAGGATTTACTGTGTCCATGGCTGACACCCCAGCCTCAGTTCTGGGATTCATCTCCATCACCTTCACCCAAGGCCTGGGCCTCTTGCTCCTCAGTCTACACCCGAAGCGTCTCCCTGGCGCCCACCTTTCCCCTCACGCATCCACTCCAGTGTGCTGCAGCCCTGAACCTTTCTTTGACCTCGGTTCCTGACCATGTCCTCTCTTACCCCTGAAATTTCCTCATGTCCTGGCCTAAGGTGTCCTTTCCCTCATACCGGCTGCTCTCTTGCCGGTTTCAGCCACTCATTCATTCAGATATATTTTCTGAGTCCTTCCTATGTGACCTGTCATAATCTTCCTCAAGTCTCTCTCTTTCTCCTTTTTAGATTTATTTATTTATGCATACAGAACTGGGGTACAGGCCAGAGATGTGGGGGTTGGGAGGAGTCACCAGAGACAACAGGAGATCGAGGAAGCACACTGCTAAGGCGAGCAGCCGGCGAGACAGGAGAGGTCTGCCACACTGTGTGGGTCACCTCCTTGGGTAGGAATTAAACTCGTGCCACAGTGGCTGCCACAGCGTCATAGTGCTGTGCTTTAACCCACTGCGCCACCAGGGAGGGCCCCAACCTCAAGTCTCTTAAAGGAAACTGAGCATTTGCTGTGGTTCTCTTGAATGCCCACGAAGAATTGCCCCCAGTGAAGTGACCCTAAGCCTTGAGGTGATACCTTTTTTATTTGTTTAAAGATATATTTATTTGTGCTTACAGAACTGGGGTACAGGCCAGAGGTGTGGTGGGTGAGAGGCTTCACCAGAGACAGAGTGGGGAGCAGAACAGGCCAGCTGATGAAGTACACTGCTGAGGGGAGCAGCAGGAGGGGCCGAAGAGGTCTGCCACACCATGTGGTCACCTCTGGGGCAGGCGGGGATCGAACTCATGCTGCAGTGGCTTCAGAGAGCTTCATAAAGCAGCACTTTAACCCATTGCACCACCAGGGAGAGCCCCGAGGTGTTATCTTAACAGCCTTGTCCCCCCAAGTCCCTGCCTCCCAAGGTCCCAGCTCCATCTGGAAATGAACTGCTGTGCTGTGGCCCTCTGGACCCGTCAGGTCAGCTCAGCTGCTGTACTCTGACCTGTGCCTCCATTCTCTTCTCTTTGGCTGCCTCCCTTCTCCCCCGCCCTCACCCACACTCACTTCCTTCACCCTCCTCTAACGGCTGAGCTCCTGGTTTGCCTCAGGCACTGGGGATATGGATGTTGTCATTTTCTTGTCTCGGGTAGCCTGGGGGAAACTGAGGCAAGAGGTATTAGTGATGGGATTTTAGTAGGAAAGGAGCCTGATCAGGTGGCTGCCGTATGGTACTGGTTTAAGGCAAGGCCAGCAGGCAAGAATCATCTAAGTCAGTGGTTCTCAAAGTGGTACCCAGGACCAACAGTGTCTGCATTGCCTGGGAGGTCCTTAGAAATGCAAACTCTCAGGCCCTTCCTGGTGGCGCAGTGGACTGAAGTGCAGCACTATGAAGCTGTTGCAGCCACTGCAGCTCGAGCTCTATCCCCGGCCAGGGGGTGACCGATGCGGCATGGCAGACCTCTCCTGACCCCTCTCTCCAACCCCCGCTGCTCCCCTCAGCAGT